AATCTGGTACCGAGTCAAGAAGCTGGGCCAGTATGGTTCACAAAACCAACACAGGCCATAGCTCTTTTCTCAACCGATGACGTCGACCAAGGACCGCAAACCTATGGTGTCTTACCCATAGACAGGTCCGACGACTCAGAAAGGGATTCGTTGGAGCTCCCCAAAGAGCAAGAACCCTTATCAGTCTCATCACAGATTGAACAGGTGGTCGCTCAAGCCGACGCTCTGACATCTGATGAAGAAAGGGACAAACTTCGCCAAGTTCTTTTAAAATATGAAAAGTCATTTTCAACTGACCCAGACATCATCCAACTTCAGAAGTTGGATCCTGCAATTAACTCGATGATACTGTATCTGACTGACCCAGACAAATACACTCCATCGAAAGGCGAACTGGATTCCAATCTCTTGGACCTTAAAGTCCTCTTTCAGCTGCGCAAACAGTTAAAACTACTCAAGGACAACCTAACTTTAGCTCATGGAGCGACATCCTCACCCGTGTTCGCGGTCCCCCATGACCGAAGGGGGGTGACGTCAGTTAGGGTAATGTTACCAGACGCGATAACGTGATTGAATCTGACAACTAAGGTGAGGTGAAGCAGTGAAACGATGTTTCTAGTTGCTTAATCACTACTTTTGTCAATGTTGAAACGTTGTTTTACTGGTTGCTTAGTCACTGTTTTTGTCGATGTTGAGACATTGTTTATTTGGTTTTGATATTTGTTTCTGAGGTAAGAATGAGTGTTGTATGTATTTTAGTTGGAGACTGTAAAGGACTTTGACTATGCCAACATGCAGTTCACTCGTTAAAACCTAATCTTTGCGGAGTCAATGTAGATTAATGCTACCTTAAGTACCATAATCTACATTGGTCTCACAACGCTTAAGCCGAACCTACTCGAACAATTCTATTAGGGGGGATAGCTAATTCTTTTTGATGAGTCTCGCCATAGACTCCAAAAACATTTATGGGGAAACCAAACACCCAATCTCAAGTCGTTCGTCTAAAAGGCAACAGACAAGTAAACCAACTATAGTGGCCATGTAAGTCTAACATAGACAAAGTTAGCGATAGTGGTATAGTTGGAACACCCTTCTATAGGTATAGACCCCTATAACTACCCTTTTCAGCATGTTCCACCCCTTAACTGGTAGCTGTAGCTGTTCCCAATCATAATAGCTTACACACCAGGTGCATATAGGTTAAGGTCTTGGGTAAAATCCCACTCATAAGCCCAACTAAAACCACTTAATTGCATGACACATAGAACCAGAACGGCACCGACTGGACGTCACCAGCGACAACCTTCGCTGGAGGAGACCTGCAATCCTGACGTTGGTTTCCAACCTGCATCCAGTGGCCGCATCTTCAGTTCAATCAAGGGAACCCCTCTGTATGCTGATCAATCAACACCTCCATTCGTTGTGGATTTATCGTTGTGGATTATATGACTTTTTCCAATGGATTACAGACTTTGTTTCCAAGGGGTTAAAGCATTGCTACAATGGAATTACCAACAACATTATGGAATTACCAACAACATTATGGAATTACCTAAACCGTTGTGGGATTACCTTCTTTGACTTTTGTTTTCCTCTTGCTGGATTACATCAAGCTCAATGACATTCCGAGGCGTAAGTTCATGTTGGAATTCATCCCCATGGACAGGCGATGATTTCCAAAGGGGGGACTGTAGTGAACTAAGCCTCAGGTCAAAACCTGACCCTGAGGACCTTCATGGGACAGAAACTGTTATTTCATTGATTTGAGTCCAGAAATACAAATTAAGCTCATCCAGAGACTTTCTAAGTGTGTCCTGCACTAATCAATTGAAAGAACACTCTCTTTTTATATTATCATTACTATTTTACAATATCTTGATAATCAAAGTGTGTTTAGTTCAAACCATTTTAAATGTTGAAGTGAACTACTCATTTTAAATCAACTGTGAAACAGTATTAATGATTTTTTAATCCTCATTCAAAGTAGAAATCAAGTTAATGTCTGTTACAGAATTACTCTGCAACAGCTTTTAACATGAGAATAAAATCATTACTCAGTTAATAAAATTGATTAGTTCACTGCAACATCTAAAATGGTTTGAACTAAGACACTTTGATTATCAACATTTGTAAGATAGTAATGATAATAAAAAGAGAGTGTTCTTTTCACTTGAATCTTCAAGAAAGAAAGTCTCAGGATGGGTGAACCTGTATTTATGGAGTCAAATACATGAAATGACAGCTTCTGTCCCACAAGGTTCTAAAGGTCAAGAGTTTTGACCTTAGACTGGGTTTCGACGTAGGCTTAGTCCACTACAGTTGTCGAAAGGAGGGTGACATTCGTTATCAACACACTTTTCCCTCATCCATATTCTCTCCATTTAAACTCCTTCATTTTCCCATCTTTAAACTTCTATCTTGCCAGTAATTAATCCAGATATCTTCAGAAATGTCTGTTGTTTAAAAAGCTGCAAGTGAGATATCATGGCCGTATGATTTCTCATTGCAAAGCTCATTAATTAAGCTGTGTTAATTGTAATCAATCTGCCAATTAATGTAAATGTGTGATGTGTTTTTAAATCGTTTAAAATAAACGACCCACTGTTGTTGGTGAGTCAGAAATTTAAACACGTCTCTGTCCACATTTACTCCACAAAGCACGATATGACTTAGTCCAGAAAAATGAAAGAATCCGTTTAAATAAAGGATAATATCGGACGCATATTATCTCATTACACTTGGAAAGATAGTCTGCTAACATATAAAAAAGCTCTCCGTAATGCTAGAACTTTATATTACTCATCTTTAATAAAGGAAAATAAAAATAACCCTAGGTTTCTGTTTAGTACTATTGCTAGACTAATTAAACGTCCCATTTCTGTTGAACTATGTATCCCTACAACTATAAGTAGTGACAACTTCATGAGATTCTTTATAAATAAAATTATTTCAATTAGAGAGAAAATTCAAACCATCCTTCCTTCTACTATCTCTAGTCCCCT